AATAAATGACATAGATTACAAATTACAGAAAAGCGTGCAAGGAAAGAATTTGAAACCAAACAACGCAGACTATACTGTGAATTCTAAAAAGTTGAGGACAGTGAAAAATTCTTGGCTTTGCACCAAAAAGTTAACAGTGTAGACACCAGATGGGTTTCCTATTCCAAATCCACAATTCTAGGCTAAGTCCTTCTGTATGGATTTGCTAATTGCATCTGGTGTGTGTGTGTGTGTGTGTGTGTGTGTGAGTGTGTGTATTATGACTTTATTTGACTGTCATCTGAAAATGAACAGCCTCTGTCATTTTTTTCACTGCCTGTAGAAAAAGGCTGTAATCCATTTTCCTTTCTAAAAGGTATCTCGAATGAATTCTGACAGTTCTTTATAGCCTTTCCAATTCAATTGAAAAAATATTTTAAAGGGGAAAGCATGCCCAACCATGCTTTTTTATATAAATATTTTATTAATTTTCTAGTTTTACAATCATAAGTAGTTAACAAAGAACGTGTTGTCTGGGTCCATTAGTAATTCAGTGGTACGTTTTAACTTCCTCAATCTAGATCCAATATTACACCATCCAGTGCTTCCTCGATTCCCTCTTCTTCCGGTGGTATACATTTTTCCACACTAGGCAAATACAATTCTTATTGCTGTTAATACATATACAATTGAATATCAACATCTTTATCACATTTTTTCTAATATTATATATAATATCAATAGTGTCAGTTTAATATATCTTTTCTAACCAAAACATATCTCAATTGTATTTGCACTTAAAATCCATTTGTTCAATCAATATCCAGTTTTTCCTGCTTTTTTAAAATTTTGATTTCCCATCAATGTTCAAAGTGTCTCTACTGCTTATAGTTTTCTCATAATAAATTATATTTGGGTAACCAAAAGCTTCCCTTATTCATACCCTCTTAGCATTTTCGTATTTCCCTTCTCATATCAAAATATAGTATTCTAGTTGCAGATCCTATCTTTCTAGTTCTAATAACACTTCTATTTCTAACAATTATCTATTCTCTTAGCCATGTTCAAACATCTATTTAATAATATAATATCCGATAATGTGTCAAAATCTCTATTTTCTTCAGTCTTACTCTAGCTTTCTTTCTTTGCCAACTAACTTTCCAAGTCAATGCATCAAGTAGTTCTTTCTCTATTTTTTGTGTATATTGTTTGGAATAAGAAAGACAATTTGATTAAAGTATTTTTGGAAGAATGCTCAGCCCATTTATATTCATTAAACAACCTCCCTCCTTCTCCAATTTTCCATAATTCTCCTAACAGCTTTATCTTCCATCCGATCAGCTCTTCTTCCTTATCCTCAAATGTGTTCTGAGATCTTGACAAGTAAGATATTTTTTTCCATTTCCAGTATTGTTGCTATGTCTTCTAATTCTTCGTTTGTCTGAGTCTGTCTATTGATTCCTTCCTTTAGGTCCTCCATGTTTGGATCCGCTTCCCCTAATTTTCCTTCTATTTTCTGGGTTACTAGTTCCTTCTTTGTAGTCATTTTCTGAATTTGTAGATTTAGTTTAGAAAATTTCTTTTATCTCCTTTGCGTTATTTTTAGTCTCATCATGAGCTAAGGCAATTGTCTCTTGTATTGATTTCAACATAGAAAGAATTTCTTTCTGAGATTCATCAACATTTTCTTGTTGGTATATCAAGCTGGGGGCTTTGAAGATAAGTGTTAGGGATGGTTTTTTATCATTTAAGGCTAACTATGGAACATCCATTTTGCTTTTGTATGTGGTCTTTATAGTCCAATCTATTTAGGGATTTAAAAAGTTTCAGTCACTTGTCATTTGAACTCCAAGTTATCTAGCCAACCTATCAGTCCATCCTTAACCATCCCTAAACAAATATAAGCAAAATTCAAGTTTTTCTGTCCAATGAAAAACATATTCTTTCTGCCCAGAGAGAAAAAAACAATTAAAATATGTTCATCAATCAAAGATTTATAATCCAAAGTATTCCATCATCTCAATCAGTAATGCATGTTTCTTCTACAGGGAAATAGCTCCATGACACAGCTCTAAAAGTCAGTTTGTATTTGTATTCGTAATCCAGGCAGGCCAGTTTCAAAATAGTTTATCATCTCTGCTACACAGATAAGCAGCCCAAGAGGGTTTTTTTCCCTTTTCCCAGCTGCAGTCTGCAAAAGTGAAAGTTTCCAAGAACAAAATTCTTATCTGAGTCTGGGCTTCAAGCCAAGTTTCCTTTAAGCATAATAAATTGTAGTGCTGTGATTCACCACTAGATGTCATTGACACTGTCTTCCAGCTTTTTAAATCCAAACTTACGTTGCAAGCTTTTCACGTCTCTTTTCTAAAAAAAGTCTTAAAAGCACTTTTAGTCCCCAAATTTTAAAGCTATATATCTGTATTGATTCCAAATTAATCTTGTAATTTTCTCTGTTTTCCCCCAAGCAATTAGTTCGCCACTTTTCTTTTCCTGAGGAAATGGGGCAGAAATTCCCCTTCCCTCTCTCATCAGGGAGGATTCTTTGCTTTGGGCGGGTTTTTTCCAGGAAAAAGTCAAAAAGAGAGGATAAAGTCTCACCCAGTTCCATCCACGTTGCTCAAAAGTTGCTCGTTAGTACTTATTTCTCTTCAGTTGTCAGCAGCTTCTGACTGGCCACACGAAGGTAGCCAGTCTTTCCCCCACCGATTTGGAGGGCTTCCTCGGATCAAACGAAAGGGCTGCCACCCCTCTGCAATCAACGAGTGTCCCCTCCTTCTTCGTCGCCTCTCTGGCGTGACTTTCGACTAATTTTAGGATCCCCAGCAGGGCAAAATTGAAAATGGAAGACAGAGCCCCATCTTCTTGCGTCCATTATGCTGCAACACCTAACTGGAAGCCCCCAAACATGCTTTTTATGGGGACAATGCATGGAAAAGAAAATTAGAGAAAATAGGGAAAAGTCCAAAATTGTTCATGCCATTCTGCTTAACACTGTGAAGGAAATTGCCTTTGTAAATACATTCAGTTTGTCAAATTTTTTCTAAGGACACTGGAAACACTACTTCAGATAGCTTTTAGTAAGATAAGTAGCCTGTTATTGTTTTTAAGTAGCTGTTTTTTACAAGTAAAAAATTTGTAGTAGACTTCCTATTAGTTTTTAGACAACCATGTTTTTCAGAGACTGTGGATCTGCACCTAAACTCATAAAATTGCTGGAAAGAGGAGGGCAGTGTTTACTGCTCCTAATGGATGACATTGTAAATTATCCACTGGTAACATACTAAGGAGAGGAAAAATATTTTGTGACCCATTAGGGAAGGCAAGTCTATTTTCCTGCCTTCTTAGCAATACATCATGATCATCAACTCTTCTTCTGTCTGAAAACCAATTATTTCCTTGCTGAATTAAGTGCACCCTACATGTTAGATATATAATATATTTATAAAAGGAAGCACAAGATGATTCATCCATTGTGCAAAGAATTTTCAAGTCACTGCCAAACATAGCACCACTGTTGGCATGGGAACTTTCCATTTGTCAGAAGCAATTTAGCCATAGCAGTCCATCAACATGTATCACTTGAAGCAGCCACCTGTTATTTATTAATTTACTTACTTACTAAGGCATCTATGCCACTAACTATCAGAGGCTTTAAGTGATTTACAGAATGGTGCAACAAGGTTAAAAATAAAAATAAAAAAATCCAGCATATAATTGCACCCCAAAACTATGACAATGCCATTCCATTAACTTTCACAGCCCCAATGTCTTTTGTTGTTGGCTGTGGCTGCCAGTCACTGGATTTCAAAGATGAAATGGATAGGGGACATCAGCTTAATTATACTTAGTAAAATGTTATTATTTCTATTTACTTACATCAGAGACCCTTCCCTGATCAGCCATGACAGATGCGACAGGCAAACCATGGCAAAAGTCCATGCTGCATCACGTTTAGCACACCATTCCTCTTTCCTTTCCAGATTCAGTAATTTAACATGGAAAAACTTTTGAAGAAGGGCACTGTTCAGTAATGCATCCAGAGATACCCTAAGGCAGGGGTAGGCAACCTTGGCTCTTTTATGACTCTTGGACTTCAACTCCCAGAATTCCTGAGCCAGCTACCCCTGCCCTAAGGCATATTGTCCTATCAGCTTAGGGAATAACAAGGCCATCTATTGGTTTCAGAAACACAGTACTTGCCATCTGGTACGTGCCAGTATACTCCAGGTTGCTTTGCTCAATCCCACATCCACAACCATCTAGAATCATTGTCACTTTCTTCAGGGTAAGAAGCAGTATTAAGACATTCACTCCACCCCACCTTTCTACAACACTTTCCATGCTTTGGTGAGTTAACTTCCTCCTAACAATATTGTAGAGGGTTAACTAGGATTACGTGCAAGGAGGCTAACCAAATCATGCTGTCAAAAAGCTGTTCAGCTTGTTGTCCTAAATAGATAGTTCTGTTCTCCTTTTGAGGCATTATGGTATATTATCAAGTTTATTGAAAAATAAACCAACATAATAGGGCTCACATTTAGAGAATAGCAACTAACATGGAGTATTGATGCTGTGCAATCTCACATGTAATCGTAGTAGTCACACACGTTAAACTCGGCAGTTTTATATACACTGGAAAACCTCCTTATGAATGGAAGGGTGTTGACTTACAAATCCAGCAAATAGATTTTTACTCTAAATCTGCTTCCTGTTAATTGAAATCCAAATAAGCATTATCAATAAATGCTGCAAGAAGTGGCAGAAAGATAGCCAGGTTAAATTATTATATGCAGCCATGGTTGTTATATTAGATCACGGGTGTCAAACTCGATTGCGTCCCATGACATATTGTGACGTATCGCAGTGTTTGTTGCAGGGATGCTGCAGTGGTCATAAGTCACTTTTTTCAGTAACGTTATAACTTTGAACGGTCACTAAACGAACTGTTGTAAGTCAAGGACTACTTGTATATTTGTTGGCAAGCAGTTTAGCTTGATTCCTGTCTGTTGCTTTCTCTACAGCACAGCCCATTCTTCGCTGAACAGCTTACGGCCTTTCAAGTCTGGCTAACAATGGGAGTGGAAAACCGCAATCCTCCTGAACAGCTCCCTATCGTATTGCAGGTGAGTTGTCTTGACAGCCAGCTGAACTACTAGCTTAGCTGAGGCTGCTGAAATGTGGGCAGCCAGCCAGCTGCAAATTTGTCTGTGTATTTATGGACATGCCTTTCTGTGACTTCTTTGCTCTTTGCCAGATGGTGTTTGGATAAATAAATTACGTGGATGGCACTGGAGACTAATTGGAGCTCATTGTTTGCTGGGCTTTTGCTGATACAGACACATTAACACACAAGCAAAATCCCATTCTCCCATCTAGCCACATGCTCTCAGTTAAGCATAAATTGACATTGTAGAGTGTTGGCCTTTTTGCTACAGAATTTCACTCAGCTTGTATAGTCGCAAAGCTCTTGTTCCAAGCAGCCAGGTTTGATCCATACCTGGCCTCTTACCATCCATAATCAGTGGCTACTGGTAGCAAGAGGGCCTAGTAAGAATAAATATCCCCTTAATAGTATTAAGTGAATTTCTCTTGTTTGCTCTACACAAAGAGAAACAGGAAAATATTCCAAATGCCATGTTCACACTCCAGGTCAGACTCTGGGGAGGAATGTTTTTGACAAGAATATAAAATATCAGTTTTCTCTTCAACTCTGCCTAATTCCTGTATGCTTCATCATTGTTCCTAAAGTTGAGAAACAAAGTTATACACATTTAATAAAAAATATTGAAATAGACAATTTACATGTAAATAAATGATTTCATAACCAATATGTTCGCTTACTACATGTGTTATCCAGTAAATTTAGCATCTAGTACATGACTATAGTTTATTTTGAAACACATTCATCTTTGCTCCTTTCCATATGCTCAAAAGCACCATCATCATTATAGAAATTTACTAGGGTTTACTAAAATGTCACAGTTTAGTATCCAACTTTTCACTGTTTCATCAGGCAGAACAAAGTGGGAGGAGAAGCAAAGATCTGGGTACAGACTAGGTCTCCCAAGTCAATAGTTCCTGTGATAAAATTTTCAGGATGCACATCATTATAGGATACATTCAGGATTACTGAGGTACAAGAAAGGCTGTTTCCTAATTATTTAAGGGTATTCAGTTTACCAAATATTCCTTTAAGAATAAACAACTATTGTATTATTCAATTGGTGTTTTTTTTATAATTATACATTTATGCTTGAAATCTTATCTGGTTATAATACAAAGCAGTTCTAATTCTGACTGGAACTAGATTAGTAACTATTGCCAACATTCTTTGGGGATATTTCATTTTCATTTTCATTTCTTTCCCTTCCCTTCCCTTCTGTTCTCTTCCCCTTCCCTTCTGCCAAGAGGAATATGGGTACATTATTCTACCTATTCAAGGGCATCTATTTTCATCTTGTATAATGGGAAAAGACTCTCAGTCCAACTTAGCAGCCCTGTCTTGTAGTATGGGTGACAGCGTCATCAATCACTGTCCGACTCTTCATTTTCTACAGTCTCTGAAGCCTGGGAGTTTGTTGTGGTGATAGATGGACAGTTTATCTCTGACAAAGTGGTGAGACAGACAGATTTCTTGTCCAGCAAGAGATATGCTGAATGACTTGACAGAAGAGAGCTGTACAGATAATTAATTTTGCAGCAATAACTGAAATGCCCACCTGCTTCTTCATGAACAAGGGTGATCATACTATTGCAAAAGCCCTCAGAAAGGCAGAGATTCATTAAAGCAAGTACAATCACATTATTTCATCAAATTTGAATTATTGTGCAATTAATTAATTTGCTCAAAAAGGCTCCCCCAAGGGCATTTTTATGCTTTGGGCATAATGCCAGGTATCTATGCCAAAGGTTTTTCCAGCCGCAAAAAACTGCTTTTATAAATAGCTTTCTTCGACTGTTTAAAAACAGTCCCTTTAGAATCTCTGTCCTCTTGGGAGAAGCACGACAGAAACAGATTGCTAAGGCAGGGAGGGGGAAGAAGTGCCACATGGGTGGTGGGGAAAAGCTTGGAGCACGTTAATCCTTAGGGAGGGATTTGCCTTCCAGACTGTATCTCACACAGCTCCATAGGATTAGTAGTTGCCCTGTGGAGACAAAGCCTAATTGAAGATGCAAAGGGTGGTTTTGTTTTAGTCACTGGCACTGGCTCTTTGACCTGTGCTAGCTTGTAATTTTAATAGAAAATCTCCATGTATTTATCCAATCCTTTGAGTTGATGCTTTGATACTTGCAAATCTACTGAATGTGAATTTGTGTGTGTGTGTGTGTGTGTGAATAAAAATCTCATATCCCCTGCCTGTTGCATATATTTCCCTCTCTTGTTCCCAAAACAATTGTTCTTATTATTGTACAGGACTCAGAGGTTGATACATAAGTCCTAAACCAAACTAAAATGTTCATTTTAATTGTGCATCAATTAAAAAGAAATTTTATTGCATCCTATTTCACCAACAAAATACTGATCCTGAAAATAGTTCTATATCCATTTCTAGAAATGAATATAGCTTTTCCTATGCAGCTTGTGAAAATATTGTATCTGAAAGACTGAAGCTTTCCCTTAAATTTTCCCTTAGACTTACTGAGTGTCTAGACCAGGGGTAGGCAACCTTGGTTTTTTTTATTACAGCTGGCTCAGGAATTCTGGGAGTTGAAGTCCATGAGTCATAAAAGAGCCAAGGTTGCCTACCCCTGGTCTAGAGAGCATGGGCTTTTGGCTTGCCTGGGCTGCATTACATGAAAGGAAATATCTTGGACTGCATATAAAATATATAATATAGTTAATGTACATAAATATCACTAAAATGATATATTAATGGTAAAAGTTTATGACCTTGTAGAATTGCATTATTAGCTGTCCAGAGCCACATGTGGACGGACACACTTGGTCTAGACTCTAGGTGCTTTTTAAATTGTTTGCAAGTGTTGCCTACTATAATGGTAGCCCATCTATAATAAGCTCTGAACTGAAATCTACTCTGTGTTGGCATGGGTGCATATACATGGAAAAGTATATCTTCTACAAAATAGAATCTCTCATTTCAGCTGTTGAATAGAGAGACCTGTGAAAGGATAGGATAAAAAACATTGGCGCTTATTAAAAGCCATGACATTAAAATTAGAAGACCTGCATCACGGTGTTATCATGTCAGTGATTCATTACACAGTTTTTACCAGTCATATCACTATACATAATATGTAACAATACACAATAATATCAATAAATGATCAATCGAATACAATAGATGATGCTACACCTCACTTAGATGATACTGCTATTCTCTTCCCTTAAGGCCTTTGGCACAACCAGGTTTTTAAAAGTTTCCAGAAGTTCATGAGGGACAATTTCTTTTATCAGTCCACTCTCCTTTGACTTTTTTCTTTCTAGCTGGTGGAAAAGAAAAAAAATCAGCTTGCTCTTTAGTATATTACATTAATTTTATATTTGTTAGAGTGCAGTCTTTAATATAATATGAGATAGACATCAGAATTCAGGAGACAAGAATGAAAGTGAGAAAAAGTGCCACTATTAAATAAGGAAGAACATTGTATAATGCATAAAAGTATTGATTTATGATCCATAACCCATAAAAGTGTTGATTTATGATCCAGACTGAGAATCTTACTAAATTAAAATAGAGGTGCATAGAACACATCTGAATCCCAAAGCTATAAATGCGGTTTATTCTTCCAAAAGTTGTTTCTGAATTACAATCTTCTTTTGACAGAAATGGAAAATCATTACATATGTGGGGAATAATCTTATTAACTGTATTTAATTTAATTTAAGTTTAATCAAACATAATGTTACCCTTGCACTGCCCTCCTTCTGGAGTGCAATACACAGCTCACCACTCAAAGTTAAGTGTGGAACTTAGATCAGGAAAGGTTGTATATCCCTGACTTCAAGCAGAGTTAGGTTTTAGCCTCCTAATTTGAAAGGTACAATGTCATTCTCCCACATTAGGGAGACCGCCTTCCCCAAGAAGCAAGGTTAATTGGTTGTGGGTCTAAAGAGAGAGTGGCCTGGCTGCCTGTTTTTGACATTAACAGATTGCTAGCTTTTTCTATGACAGCAAATTGAAAGCTTATTTGGAAACTAAGAAATTCACCCTCTGGCTTGTGTGCAGTTTCTGACTTTGAATAGAACACTTCTCTGATCTTTGTTTGGAGTGGAGTGGAGAGGAATGGAGTTCATCATGTATTTTAAAGCGGCAATGATGGTGTGTGTGTGGGTTTACGTGTCTCGTATCTGACAGTAGATAAATACCTTATGCAAAAATATATACGATTAGTGGTTCCGTTTCTTGAAGTGTATTCATTCCGTATAGTCTATTTCTGGTATTTTGGGAAAAACTGATTTGGGCAGCATGGATGGGCAGACTGTTACTTGCTGACTGCATGCTGCCTCCCCCAACGCACTTGCAATACCTTGATGCCATTGTGCCAGGGAATGAAATTCTCACTCTTTTTGTGCGTTTAGAAAGTGTGAGATGGCCATAAAGGGAGCTTTAAGCCTTGCAAAGCCACTTATTCCACACATTAAAATCTCCCAAACTCCCTACCCTCACATTTGAGGCCACATTTTCTCATTTGGGGAGTTCAGGGGCAACATGGTATTGTTTTTAACTTCTCCAATAAAAAAAAGAGCAAACAACAGCCAAAACGTTTGGCCCTATCCACTTCAATAATATTATTCTTTAAGTCTTGTCCTTTGCAGTCCACAGGTAGGAAGCAATGGCAGAATGTAAGTCTCAGGTCCAAGATCATTATCCAGGCCAGCATGATGATCACAAAGCTCTGAAATCCAAAATAATAGGCCTTGTGTGATTTTGTGTTTTTTTTATGTCAATTCTTGTTTTCTCTGATTTTTATAGGTATTGCTGAGTCAAGTACATCGGCTACGAGCTCTTGATTTACTTGGCCGTTTTTTGGATCTTGGTCCCTGGGCTGTTAGCTTGGTGAGTCAATATTACAGCCTTTTTGTTGAAAAAGGAAAGACACTTTTTATATCATCAACATGTATGACTGATGAACTGATCCTGGATGTGGAAAATAATGTTCCACGGAGATGGCCGCTATATGTTAGCAATTGGACGTCCTCAGGTCACTATAAATCAGGCTCTCAGAATTTGACCAACTCTGCAAATGGTTGAGAATCTTGTTATCTGCTGCAATTCCCATCTTTGTTCAGCCTATTCCATTCCATCTGAAGCTGGGCCTAATGATATTAAAAAGATATAATTTGACTTTCTTGTGGGCATGCTGGTAATGAACAATTTCCTAGAATAAAATGAGAATTAGAACTAGAAGAGCTTCCAGCTATTATAATTTTTATTCACACAAGGACTGTCTAGAGTCTAGACCTTAAAAGGAGGCTGCTTAGCACCATGTAAAAATCAGAGCTGTTCCAGCTTTGCTTTTTAATTTAGAAAACAAGACAAAAACTTTGAAAGCTGCAGTGTTAAAATGAAAAATAAATTGGGGGAAAAGGAAAGGATGTGGGAGGTTAAGAAAGAATAATTATGTTTGTGTATATCTGAATAAATTTAAAATCTTAAGGAGTGATGCAATTTAAAGATTCACATTCAGTATTTTTATCAAAATGTCATTTTCCCTATTAGGAAGTACATTGTTAATTTATCTAATAAATTGTGACTAGATTTGAGAAAACTTACTCTACATTTCAGAACTTTTTTGGTAGTGATTTTCCAGACAGAACAATTTCCCGTATCTCTAAACATCATGATCAAATGAAAGATGTGCTGTAATTTTTCAATGTTTAGCAATAACACACCTGAATGAGTTCCAAATTGTCAAATGGAAAACTACCATAGTACATTAAGTACTGAACAAAAAAAATATCAATCAACTTTTGGTAAAACCAGATAATTAAAAATATTGCACAGCATCTAGGAATGAAGTTGACAGGAAACAAATGTGCAGATATTAGCTCTTTAACATCATTACTGCCAGAGGTGGGGGCAGGAAGTTCTCAATGCCAGTCCTATATTTATATCCTTTCTCAATTGTCTTTTCTGTTAGGCTTTATCTGTTGGCATTTTCCCCTATGTATTAAAACTGCTTCAAAGTTCTGCTCGAGAACTAAGGCCTCTTCTGGTTTTCATCTGGGCCAAAATCCTTGCAGTGGACAGTGTGAGTAACCATTAAGTGTTAATTGAAAAAAGCAAAAATACTATACAGGTGGTCCTCAACTTACAACCATTCGTTTACTGACCATTCGAAGTTAACAATGGTACTGTAACTGAAAAAAAGTGGCTTGTGACTGGTTTTCACACTTAGGACCGTTGCAACATCCCCATGGTCACATGATGAAAATTTGAGCGCTTGTCAACTGGCACGTATATATGACAGTTGCACTGTCCCGGGATCAGGTGATCAACATTTGTAACCTTCCTAGCCGGCTTCCGATAAGCAAAGTCAGTGGGAGGGGGGGGAACCAGATTCACTTAATGACCACATGATTCACTGAACAACAGTAGTGATTCACTTAATCACTGGGTCAAAAAAGTGATAAAATGGGACAAAATTCACTTAACTGCCTTGCTTAGCAATGGAAATTTTGGATTCAGTTGTGGTCGTAAGTCGAGGACTACCTGTAGTTGTGTAGGGCTTTTGGTTTCACTTACAAAAGGTACTTCACAGCACATGGGGACATGAACATTGCACCTGCTTGCAGCTCTTTAAAGGTCATAGGGAAAAGTGTTGCTTTAAGGTGTTACAAAGAGATTCAAACTTCCAAACATTCCAAAGCACAGCCTTATAGAAAACTTGAAAAGTTCTCTTTGCTTGCCTAAAAGTAAGAAGAGTTGTTTCCAGATGAAGTAAGAGCTACAAAATTAACTTTGTCTCGTGGTTGAAATTTAACTTTTGGGCCTGCTGTTAAAAAAACAACAACAGCTTTATTTACATCTTTTTCTCTTTCATTGGAAATTGACTGTTATTACCTGACAATAAATTTAAACTGATTTCTGCAAGAATATAGAAAAATTGGGAAATCAAATTACAGTGTTTGTAATGAAATATAAAATATTTTTAAACAGTGAGTCATTCAGCTGGGGAATTACACCTTCATTGAAAACTATAAAATATCCATTATTAGGCTATCGGCTTTTGGGGCCAAGGAGTAGAAAATACATAGTACATGAAATTTTCAAGTCTGGACATGACTTCTCCTCTCTAACCTATTCTGAAGTTTAAATAAATAAAATTCTCAAAGTCCAAATCATTTTTGCTGGCTAATTAATCTAACAGTTTAATACTATCTAAATAAAATGGTCTATTTTGGAACGAGTTCCTTCAAGTAATGTATAGGTATGAAAATAAACCATGCTGGAAATATGATCATCATAGACAATAGTAAAGTGCAGACTCTTCATTTTTCTCTGACTAGCTAGTGTTTTTGTAATCTAATATTAGTTGTATCTATTCTGTACGAGACAATTTTTTTATACGTGGACAAATATTCATTTGCTTTTCATATACTTTTGTTAGTCTGCCTGCTGTGTTTACAAATGTTCAGCATACATTACACATTAAAGTAATTGCAAATGAAAATTATTAGCTACTGCAAAAATTACAACATCAAAAGCTTTTTTTAAAACCTAAAATTCTACATTTTGTTGTTGACTGATTCTTTATATTGCCTTGTCTGATTAATGCTCTTAGCACAAGCAGGAGCCATGATCAAGCACTGGCATCTTTTCCCGCTAATCTAGAGTTATGTTTAGTGTTATTAAATATATTTTGAATAATGTCTAAAAGGATTTTAGACAGCAAAGAAAATGAAAAATAGTCCTCAACCTGTTTTGGAAAAAAGGAGCTTATCTTTGATGAATGTTTTTGTTTAGCTGGGCAATCAAACCTCCATGTATAATTCAGAATAAGAATATATTCACTGAATAAGGCATGCAACACTGTGCAGATCTATAACAACAATAACATTTTGGCTGTGGGAGTAGAGGACATAATCTCTTCTTTGAAAATGGGACCAAGAAGGGTATAGTCTTATTTATTCAAGCCATGATTTGTTGCCCAATACTAGGAAACTTAAGAGGACAATGTATTTGTAATATTGCAATACGGTGTTGAATTTGAATACATTGTTAATTTCCCTGACGATTTATCAGAGTATTTTTTTTAAAAAAAGCATGAAATGTAATGATGTTTGAAGAGGAAGGATAATGATGTGAGGAAAGGGAATTGTCCAATGCATGACCACCACTACTCACAAGTGCCCAGAATTGCTTGGTAGCAAGATGGGCGGCATACAAATAAATTAATAATAATAAAATAATAAACGATCCTCTAATAAGGTTCAGGCCCTGATGAAGGCATTTCTGATGTGGCCATTGTTTTTTAACTCTTACGTCAGAGAATGATGATTGTGGGCAAATATCCTAGGAGCACGACTTAAGTGTATTACCTCAGTTGCTGTAATCAAATACTGGAAACTGTAGTTTTTTGTATTTACCATAAGAAAAATGTTGCAATTAATTGTTCTTTTGAGTTGCATCTGTGGAATTGTGCAATAGAATAGTGCAATAGAAAAAAAATCAAATAGTAGAATTAAGGAAGCTGGGGGGGGGGTACAGAGATTTTTTTCAAGTTGCTGTCCAACTACTGCTGTGCTGTAGACTAAGAATTACAAATTGAGCTGTGATTCAGTAAATGCTCAGTTCATATCTTCCCTCTGTATGACTTTAGCGCTAGACAGATTAGTTTCTCTCAGCTATCACATGTAATTTAATAATACCTTAAGTCAATGCCTTCAAAGGTTGTTGTAAGAATTACAATGTCTGGAAGTGCATGATACTGTAGAAATGACAGAGCATAGTGGGCGGAAAACTAATCAGTATTCTAGATGTCCATAGGAGAGCAAAATGCAAGTATAAATAACACAATTTTGAAGCAGACTTAGTTTGAGCTTGGTTCAGTTAGAGCTGTGCTTCACTTTATACAGTTATTTTAAAAAGGATTTGTCCCTTTCAGATGTCTTTGCTGCTGAACCTCATAGGCCTTACTGACAGATAAAGGAAATCTAAGTGAACAAATAATACCAAAGGTTGCAAAGACTTTTTCGTACATTTTCATACATTTTTCATACATGAATTATCCTGACTGCTGATGGCATGCAAAATATCTGCACTGAACATAAACAGTGAAGTTCAAAATACCTACTTACTTTCTTCCTGTTAGCTTTTAATGTGTGTTTCTCTGAACAGAAGTATCTTCAATATTTTATTCTTTTGGCTGTAGGATTAACAAAGAATTTGAAATGCAGAAAGGGAAGGATATTATAATTATGCAATAATACACATTCCTTTAGCAGCCTGTACAATTAAAGATCTTCCATTTAGTCAGTATAAATAAGTAGGAATGAGCCTTTCTTCTGAATATTTTTGTGCATGCTTTGATTGAATGTCTCTTGTCCACATGAACATTTCATTCTTTGAGTATAGTTAGTTTAAATAAATAAAATTCTTTAATTGGAAATAAGCAGAAGTTTGTTTTTTAAAAAAGAAATAGAAATATTTTTAATGAAAAGAATGAATTTGCTTACTTGTGTATAATTCCTGAAACCTGAGTTTCCTTTTGAAGACTGCTATTTTCATTCATCAAAGTCAGGAAAAGAGAACTGAAAAGGAAATAAAACATTTTCACTGGTTCTCTTAAAATGCTTGGAAACACTGGTAGGCTCTGACCCAAAGGTGCTTTTTCAAAAGGCAACTGTACTTTCTTTGTTTTTTCCTTGAAGACGTTTAGCTTCTCATCCAAGAAGCTTCTTCAGTTTTTGGATGAAAAATGAAATGTCTTCAATGAAAAAACAAAGAAAGTACAGTTGCATCTTGAAAAAGCACCTTTGGGACAACCATGACCTGGATGATTGAGAATCTCTATAGACATCTGATAGGCTCTGAATTTCTTTTGGTGCTTTCTGTCTCCAGGCAATGAAACTGAGATAATAGTCACAACCCATCTTCACTTCACCTTTCAGATTGGAACTTGTAAATCCATGTCCAACCTTGGTGGTTCACTCTTCGCAGTTCCTCCTTCCTTCCTCTCTGTCTTAATTTCCTCAACAGGTCAAGTAAAATGGCCAAAGTTTTCTTAGTTTTACATGAAAGCAATGTAAGTCTGCTTGGAAAAGTCAAGCTCAGAAGGTACTGCCTCATAATCCATTGTCTCGGGGGGAGTCATGACCCACACTTTGAGAAGAACTGTCATGGATAAGTTGGTCAATAAATGCAACTATACTCAAGCAATGATCAGTCCCTGAATCAAATTAATGTTCAGCCTACACAGAAAAATGGCACATCACTAAAAGTAGTGACTATAATAAGAGAAGCATAATTGATGCTATCCTCCATTTCTGATGGCACATAAATTTAGGGAGAATGAATGCGTCATACTAACAAGAGTGGTGTCAATGTGATGCTTATAATAAATAAGTGAGAAACAATCACATTAGTATAAAGCTGTACACTTTCAAAAGGAAAAATGGACACTTCAAGTTGGGTGTCTTAAGTATCTATGAAACATCCTACATGCAGAAATTATAAAGAGTAGTATGATGTCATAACTACTGATATGCTAATGAAATGCATATGCATTAACAATCCATATAGCATAGGCTTCCATGGCAGAGTTGTGATTCTAGTAGGAAACTATCTCCTTTCCTTAACAATTAGTAACGAATAGAATAGAATAGAATAGAATAGAATAGAATAGAATAGAATAGAATAGAATAGAATAGAATAGAATAGAATGATAACTTTATTGTCACTTTGAATGTACACTGATCGGAATACAGTACATTAAAATGAAATTTCATTGCATAAAGTTCTCAAAGGGTCACCACCTGAAATATACAAAAATAAATGACAAAAATAAATCAATCAATAAATACAGAATCAGAATATTGGGCAACACTGTTAAAAAGAATCCCAACATAAGTAGTCATTTCAACCCTCTCAGGGCAAAAAGCTCCACTTTCTTTCGTAGCTCTCTGTAATAGGCATCGTTAATTACCTCAGCAATGGAATACTGTATTCTTCTTCATTTGTGTCTTTTTTAGCTTCTTTCTTTTGACAGTTATGTCCTCCCTTTCTTTATGCCTTATTACTGATTTAAAAAATGCATTGGCACCGTTCCTGAAGTGCCTGTTATGTATTATCCAAAAGGAAGATTCAAGTCAACTTTCTCCCTTCTTTGGAATGTAACTTTTGCCTTTTATATAAATATATCTGTATTTATATTCATTTGTCCTCTTTTTCTGGCCTTAATATGTCATCCCCAAAGCCTGAGCCGAAGTGCTAGTAAAGGGTATCTCAGAAAACAGTTGATAATGGGAATTCTTGAAACTACAAATCAGGCTGCTGGGTTCTTGTTTATTTAATTGTCATCTCATGGGAAATGTGAGGAAAGTTCACTTCCAAGGGAAATTTTTCCTCGTGGAAAAACAAGAGTATGTCCCATCCTCGTTATTAAACACTAACAAAATGGTGGATGGTGTTTTTATGGAGAACTGAAAGATCTGAAGAATTTCTGCTGTGCTTTCAGTGTGCCCTGCTCCAGGATCCCTAGGAGGACCTCCTCAGTTACAGATGGCAAGCAATGTCTGAGATTGCTTGCCATCTCTAACTGGCAAGCAATTTATAATCCTGTTTAGTTAGTTACCCCAAAAGTGCTTTTTCAAAAGACAACTGGACTTTCTTTGTTTTTTTCTTAAAGACTTTTTGCTGAAGAACTGAAGAAGCTTCCTAGATGAGAAGCAAAACATCTTCAAGGAAAAAACAAAGCCCAGTTGAAAAAGTCCAGTTTTGAAAAAGCACCTTTGGGACAACCATGATCTGGATGATTGAGAATCTCCATAGACATTTAGTTATTTGATTTGCAGGTAGTCCTTGACTTACAACCATTCATTTAGTGACCATTCCAAGATACAACGGCCTTGAAAATAGTGACTTATGACCATTTTTCACACTGATGGCCAATGGTCATGTGATCAAAATTCAGCCGCTTGACAACTGGCATGTATTTATGATGATTGCAGTGTCCCAGGATCAGGTGATTACCTTTTGCAACTTTCTGAGAAACAATGTCAGTGGGGGAGCCAGATTCACTTAACAATCGTATTACTAACTTAACTGCAGTGATTTACATAACAACTGTAGCAAGAAAGGTTGTAAAATTGGGCAAAATTCATTTAAATATCTGCCTTGCTTAGCAATGAAATTTTGGGCTCAATTTTGGTCGTAAGTTGAGGACTACATATATACTTTAGCTTTTCTACAAGAGCTCAGGCAATGTATATGTCTCTCCCCGCCTTCATTTTCCCCCATAACAATTCTGTGAGACATGTTAAGTGAGAATAATTAGTCTTAAGCAGGGGTCCCTAACTCCCGGGCCGCGGCTCACTACTGGACCACAGCCTGTTCAGAACTAGGGCATGAAAAGCATCAGGCAAGTGTGTGTGCGCATAGCTCCCCTCACGCGAGTGAAATTCCCCTTGTGTGAGCAATGGGCACTTGCGCTCCCACATGAAACTCCCCTTGCATGTGTGGTGGGTGTGTACACCACCTGTCACACAAATGGAGCTGTGCATGTGCACACATCCGCCACTCTCACAAAACCATTCCCTCTCCCCCTCCACACCGGGCCGCCACGCTGGAAAGGTGGGGACTGCTGGTCTAAAACCATCCCATGGCTGAGGGGACTAAAACACGTGTTTCTCCCATTCCTGTGCAACAATTATCATTACCCTACATTGGCTCTTGTAAATTCATAAAGAACAAACATCCACTTAACTGAGGAGAAAATAAATGAGGTAGGTTTGAAAATACTATCAAAGATATTAACCTGTTCCCAATGTGTTAATATGCTTTTTGGTGGTATAAGAATTTTTTTTCAGATCCATATCATCAGACTTTTATTATGTTAACTCCTAACATACAAACTGATGTAGGATCGATACAAGTGGATAAAGACTCATGCAGAGGTTGCTATGATTTGTTCCCAATAGTAATTATTCCATGTGACAAGCTATTCCACATGCTCCAACTTACCATGGAGTCCTCACAAAAAGAACTTTCATCTGTGGAGGAAGCAGTTGTACATACAGTATATGCAGTGGTGGGATTCAAATATGTGAACAACTGGTTCTCTGTGTGGATGCCGCTTCCAGAAGTCCATTCTGGGCCTGGGCAACAAAAAATTAGCTACCGGTTCTCTGAACTGGTGCGAACTGGCTGAATCCCACTACTCAGTATATGGCTTTCTTCATTAAGCAAACTTCAGAGGTAGCCATTCAGAATGACCCATGTATGACTGCTTGTTCATGTGTGAATGGCCCCTAAATTGCAACATCCCAAAATCTGGTCTATTCTATGTGATGTATTCCTTTTTAATGAATTCATTTCTGCAGTTTATATACCACCTCAATACCATCAGGCCCTAGAATGGTATACAAATGTTCATAATAATAATACAATTGTAATAAATTTAAATTTTTAGTATAAGTAGAATTTCTGAAGAATCAGAAGGGATCTAACTGAAGTAAAGATGAAGTTGTTCCTACCAATATACACATTTGATATATGCTTCAGGTGAATTAATTCTGAGTATTTGTTTAGACAGAAGAATCTATACAATTAATGCTTATTGTTTTAGAATATATGTTTCAGTATTGGTTGTTTTACTGAAGTTTCTCTCTTGATAACCTGGTGTGTGTGTGTACATGTGTGCTTGTATTTGTGCGTTGTTTTCCATAAAATCTAAGCAAATGTACTTGAATTTTGATGAGGCTATCAGGCATGCTCCTGGAGAGATATTTGGTTTATTTTTTTAATAGTTTCTACTCCGTGACAATTATTTCTTGTTCTGAGGTTTTCCCTGATACTGTAATTTTTCTAGTCTTAATCTTGTAATTAAAGCTGTAATTCAGAGAAGGAGAAACGTGGCCCTCCAGGTATGGCTAGAATTCCCAACAATCCTAATTAGGATCACCAGTAGAAAGGAATACTCCTGTCTGCTTTTCTCCTATCATAGCTTCTTCAAGCTTAATCAGCAATACAATAGTTTGATAACTATTTTTTGCTCTGCCATTGCTCCAGCTTTTCTGTAAAATATTAAACAGATGAAGTATAAACTTTGGCGCTTTTTTTTTCTAATTCATTTATGCTTTGGCATCCGGTCCCAGCTTAATACTTTGAATGTTTTTCCATCTGTTGCTTTTCGTATATGAGTCTCAGGACTTTCTGTTATAGATTTTAGCCCTCTTCTGATTTCCTTCCCTTAAGAATCAGAGCTCCTAAAAAGCGTTTTTGTTTGTTTACAGAGCATCCTTTTTTACATTGCAACATGTAGAACTAAGATAAACGAAAGGAGATACGATATAATATAAAATAATATTAACAATTCTGGGTAGAGGGAAAAAAATTAAACCTATGTTGTATATTTAATGGGGTGAGCAGTGGTTTTGAACTGACATAAAGGACTGCAGCAGTGGCACCGCTCACTCTCCCTTTCAAGCAGCACAGCAGAACTGTAGTATGGAAGTTTCTCTGCCTTATTGTCATGTACAAACCTTCACATAAAGAATCCTCTGTGCCTCAGCAACTGTATTCATCCATATCGATTAGATATTACCAAGAACAGAGCAGCAATAAAGCAGTGTTTTATTTCTTCAGCACCTCTTTACACTCGAGGTTTTTTTGTCTCCCCCCTTTCAAAAAAAGATGAAAGCAAAATCAATGCCTTTGTGATCGTGTGTGCTAGGGCAGAGGTCCCCAAACCCCAGTCCGTGGACCAGTACCGGGCCGCGGCATGCCAGCAACCGGGCCGCACAAACAAGCAAAGCCTCATCTGTAAAATGCAGGCAACACACAAAACCGTGCCCCCTCCGGTCCACAGAAAACCCTCTCTCCACGGAACCGGTCCCTGGTGCCCAAAAGGTTGGGGACCTCTGTGCTAGGGTGCTTGTGATGTCCCTTGCTTCCTGTCTCTATTTGAGCTCAAGAAGAACAGCTTGAGCAATTTCATTAAAAGAAAGAAAGGAGACTTGGTGATATATGTAGATAATGATCATGTTGGGGGAATGTATGTACATATACAATTATGACTTGTAACTACATAAATTGAGGAGACTTGATTTTAGCCAGACAATTAAAAAAAAAAGATATGAGTGCCAAAGGAGTCACCCAGCATAACTGTTGAAAGAAAAAGTATGTCAGTCATTAAGTTTGTTCCCTCTTCTCTAGGCTTTATGCATAGATATTACAAAAGATGAAGCAGAAGAGCCCTTAGATTTTATCAGTTAGGGAAAAAAATACAGTTGACTATTGTGGAAGAAGATTGTTTTTTCACTACACCTGGCTTACAGATGATTGTTCTCCTAGTTCATTGTACAGACTGAATGAACAAAAGATGTACTGTTCATTGAAGGTAAAGTTTTTTGGTAATTGCTTCAAAGGACTCTCCAAGCAAACAAAACTGCCTGTGGGCCTTGGGCATGGAGCAGATGTCCTTTACTTCCATGATATAAATTTTGATCAAGATTTCTTGGCTGATGTCCTGGCAGAAGAAGCTTACTTCTGCTATTTTGTTTCTCAAATCAATTGAAAATTGAATTTGAAGGAGAAAAATTACTACGCCATGAAATATTCATAAATCATCTGAAGGCTTAGAAGAAGATTTTTTTCAGGTTATTGAACTTAACTCTGTTCTTTCTTCTCTCTCCTCACCCTCAATCTTGTTTTTTAGTCATGCCAAGCTGACCTTGTGAAGGACAATGGTCACAAGTATTTCCTTTCTGTTTTGGCAGATCCTTATATGCCGGTAAGATTAAGTAATCAATCCCGTTTCCTTTCCATCGCTTCCCCCCCCCCCAATCCATCTGTTTACATTTTATGTGTTGTGTCTTGGCTCACATGCAACTCTTATGTGACTTAATGAGGTTTTGTAGATGGTAAGAGTTCTTATGCAATTCTAATATGCAGTATGCTTCGTTGAATAACAGCAGTGAAAAAAGTAAATATAACTTTTTCCCTCTCCTTAAGCAATTAAAAATATTGACAGTGTATTCAGGGCAGGCATGGGAAAATACTTCTTCATGCGATATGGCTGAATTAATCTTATTGAATTAATTAATATAAAACATGATGATAGTGTGCTTGTTTGTTAATTAAATTACTGACTGGATGGGCTATTCACGCCCTATTCAAAAGGAAGGTATCTGAGATAGTCCTCTTATGCTAACTTCATTTCCCTGACTTCCTCTGTTGAGCACCCTGATGGGAATAAGAGAGTCTATTTATGTCCAGCTGCTTTCCTATGAGATTGCTTTGTGTTATCACAGTTGTCTTGATTTTGACACTGGGTTGTGCACGCCTTGAAAATGATTCAGACCATGCACAAATACTTCTCTGCTATTGATTGTAACAGACCTGCTTTTTTCAGGCTTCTGTGGTTCCTTAAAATTAATATAATTCTTAAAGCAACTGTACCTTTTTTCATGAATAGTGGGAAAGTACTGTGTTTTCATGAGGTCTGAAGCATTTCTCCTTAATCATCTATACCAGTGGTGGCGAACCTATGGCACACGTGCCAGAGGCGGCACTCAGAGCACTCTCTGTGGGCACACGCGACATGCCCCGGAGATGGCAACCCTCCTCTTCAACCAGCCGCTCGCTAACTCGCCGAGGTCCCACGTGGTCAGATGCATCCCAGCACCCATGCGCTCGCTGGCCTCTGTGTGCAGAGGCCGATGGTGTCAGGCAGCAGCTGCCCCAGCCCCTGCCTCACCTTGTCTCGCCTCACCCTGCAGGACGAGCCTCCTGCCCACCTCCCCACCTGCCAGAGACCCCCTGGATCTCCCCCAACCCTGCCCAGCCCCCACAGACATCCCTCCCCAGGAGCAACATGGAGCTGGCCCTGCCCACCCTGGCCCCGCCCACCCATCTGCCATGACCACTGTAGCCTCGCCCACCTGGCAGGCCATGCCCACCCGGCACCCGGTGATACATAAGTGGGTTTTGGGTTGAAATTTGGGCACTCGGTCTCTAAAAGGTTCGCCATCACTGATCTATACAGTATGCACAATTCTGTTAGATGGGCCCCCAACATAAGAGCCCCAGCTCAGAAGTAAATTTTCCTATTCAACTCTTCATGCTCAAGCTCAGGGAGCAACATTATACCAACGTGGTAGGACCTTTCTTCTGCCATTAGTTACATGGAAATAACATGCGACTAGGCTGTAGTCTGTCCATCAGAACAAAATGAAACGACAGCATCCAAAAGCTGTTGAGTGCCTTATGCTAGAGTAAGGGGAGGCTGTTGCCTTCATCCCCTACTTTTGGAATGAGGGAACTTGTTTGTTGTTGGAAAGCAGGTTAGCCTTTGGTCTGCTCCTCTTATGTTCTTATAGCAATGTTAGAGTAAGAGATTCTATATTTCACAAGGAGCAATACATTTTAATTATTTTTCTTCAACTGAACTACTTTGGTCTTTGTAAATAAGATCACAGCAGACCTGGATAATAGTTCCATATGAAAAAGTTACTGTGTAAGAATAGTTATACAAATAATCTTCACTTATCAACCCTACCTGGGACCCAAAGATGCTTTTTCAAAAGGCAACTGGACTTTCTTTGTTGTTGTTTTTTTTTTGTTGTTTTTTTTGAAGACATTTCGCTTCTCATCCAAGAAGCTTCTTCAGAACTGAAGAAACGTCTTGAATGAGAAGCGAAATGCCTTCAAGGAAAAACAAAGAAAGTCCAGTTGCCTTTTGAAAAAGCACCTTTGGGGCAACCATGACCCAGATGACTGAGAATCTCCATAGATGCCTACCTGGGAGCAGAATTTCTGTTCTTAAGTGAAGCAGTTGTTAAGCAAAACATCACATGATCACACTACTTAACGACAGCAATTCCGGCAGTCCTAGTTGCAGTCGCTAGATCAAGGAATATGAAGCCATTAAGCCAAACCTTGTTTTTTCTCCTGCCTGAAATGAACTGCCTCTGCTTCAACTCCTCCTCTCTGCCTGGCTCTCCCCATCTCTGTTCTTTTGGTTGGAAACTGATCAAAGAGAGAAGCAACCTGGAATTAAGGAGAAAGTTCCTGACAGTGAGGACAATTAACCAGTGGAACAGCTTGCCCTCAGAAATTGTGGGTGCTCCATCACTGGAGGTTTTTAAGAGACTGGATAGTCACTTGTCTGAAATTGTATAGATCCTCCTGCTTGAGCGGAGGGCTGGACTAGAAGACCTCCAAGGTCCCTTCCAGCTCTATTCTATTCTAACTAAGAGAATGGTTGTTACGCGAGCACCCACTATAAATATAGTCTGTTGAGAAAAATAATTGTGCTAAGAATCCCACTTTTTCTATAAACTGCAGTTCTTCTATGAATCAGTGGGGCCCAGTTCCTTCCTCGTATATTTTTAATAATGTGTAACATGGAAAAATGTTAGAAAAAAAATCATTTTCACTCTTTCAAGTGACCTTGGAAAATGTTTTTGTATGGTGCTTTAACAGCATTTGAAGCACAAAGCAAAAGCAATACTATTTGCCTATTTGACATGCACAAAATATAGAGTTAGTAGAAAATGTACCAACTCCAAGAGCTGTATACAGGCTTCTTATTTGGACACATTTCTGTCTTTGTACTATGTATTAACTATATTAACTTTGTGACTGTTGATATTTGTATTTTCAAACAGCACTGTCTGACATCACGTTAGAAAACTTCAATCTTGAAGTTGAATGAATTCTTATCGGAGGGCAACCATATCACCATCTGAAAAGGATTGGTTTGCTTTCCTGCTCATTTTCCAGTTCAGTTAAATAACATAATTTTTGTATATTAAGTTTACAACTTCCTGGAGTCCTCCAGCAGCGCAAATCTTTGTCAAAGATGCCAGTTTCTCCTTTAAAGCTTTTGCCTAAAGCATTCCTGTGTTGCTTTACCCAAGATTCATGAATAAAAATATTTTTGTGTCTATATGTTAAGGCTGAACACAGAACAATGACAGCTTTCATCCTGGCAGTGATTGTCAACAACTACAACACAGGACAGGTGAGTACAAGTGAAGAAAAAGTGAGGCTTGACTCAGTAACCTTGAGTAAAAAAAAAGTTAGACAGCACTGATTTAAGCCCGGCCATTTCTGCCTCATTCCTCTTGGGAATATCTTGCCTTTAAGATTTATATACTGACAAGAAATGGATTGCCATGTCATGAAGGCCCTTTTTTGCAGGAAGCTTGCCTCCAAGGGAACTTGATTGCCATTTGCCTGGAGCAGCTGAATGATCCACACCCTCTACTGCGCCAGTGGGTGGCAATTTGCTTGGGCCGTATCTGGCAGAATTTTGACTCTGCGAGGTGGTGCGGCGTGAGGGACAGCGCTCATGAAAAGCTCTATAGCCTTCTCTCCGATTCAATACCCGAGGTACTCCCTCTAGGTTTCAAAATAAATCTCTTTCAACAAGGAGACCCTGTTTTAATTAGCTACCTTAATTAGCTTTGCTATGTTACAAAGCTGCTTCGTTGACTGCCTAAAGCAGTGTTTCTCAACCTTGGCAACTTTACGATGTTGTGGACTTCAACTCCCAGAATTCTCCAGCTACCATTGCTAGCTGGAGAATTTTGGGAGTTGAAGTCCACACATCGTAAAGTTGCCAAGGTTGAGAAACACTGGTAAAGGGAGGAGCCAGGCGCCGTTTTTGCAGGATGACCGTTGAGATATTAAAAAGAGCCAACATGCTACTTTTTTAAAGGCTTTGGGTTAAGCTTGACCGCAGGTAGTCCTTGCTTAGCCTCATTTAATGACCGTTCACAGTTATGACGCTGATGAAAAAGTAATTTTATAACCAGTTCTCATATTTATGATCTTTGTAGGTCTGTCAAGCAAAGGGAAGCTGAAGTAAGGTCATAAGCACAGACATGGTTTCACTTAGGAATCGCTTTGCTTAATGACTTGTTTGGAGGACTTCCTACAATAGGAATGCAACCTGACTCAGTTTAACTATAACTATATTGATTTTAATTGATAAATCTAATCATTCATTGTTTAGAAGATAACGACATTGATTGTAAAGCATTCACTTTAGTGGGAAAACCAAATATGCCTTTAAAGTACTTCTAACGCTTCAGCTAGCAGCAGCAAATTAACAAATGTGCAAATAGATGTGGAGAGCTCTTTAATCAATTAACGTTTCTTGTTACTTATTAGACTGCATTGAGTACATGTTTAAATTTTTTGAACAAGTTTCCAGTCTGAATATCTCTTGGCCCTATGAAACAAGTATGTCTGATTTACATCTGCATTTTTCAGTGGAAAACTTGATTTGGCCTATTTTGGGCAAAGTAGTAGGTACGGACTCTTATGCTCTGTTATGATGCCTTCTCTTTCTCTTGTAGGTTCGCTGTGCGGCAGTCTTTGCCCTTGGCACTTTTGTAGGCAATTCTGCTGAGCGGACAGATCATTCCACTACTATAGATCACAATGTTGCCATGATGCTGGCCCAGCTCATTAATGATGGAAGCCCCATGGTCCGAAAGGTATAGCAAAGGGTTAGGAGGGATAGATAGATAGTATCATGGCCTTATTAGTTTTAAATACAGGCACTCCTCAGTTAACAACAGTAATTGGGGCTGGAATTTCTGTTGCTAAGTGATGCAGTCGTAAAACGTGATGTCACAGGATCACATCAGTTGGCAATTAGTTAGAGTTCCCAGCACTCTCTATTTCCTTGTTAAGCGAAGATCATCAAGAAAGTCCCAGGTGGCTTGTAAGTAGACCAGCTAGCTGGTAAGTGTCTGCTGTTATGTGCAGGAGGGTCTGTGGGTAGCTGACAAAGTACAGACATGGCAGGACCAAAGGTGGCTGCTGCCATGTAGAGGAGAGTACATCAGTACACAAGCACAGTGGTTGCTGCCAGGTGAAGGAGAGTGTGAGCAACTTACTTGAACAACTTGCAGTTTTTCCTACTGGCTTTCCCCCTGAGTTTGCTTTGGGGAAGCCAGTAGGAAAGAACATAGCAGAGATCTTGTGGCTATAGAACGCTGCAACTTTCTTAAGTGCAAGCCACTTGGCAAGCACCCAGGTCTCGATCATGTGACCATGGGGATGCTGGGATGACTGGAACTTTGAGGATCAGTCACTGAATGAATGGTTGTTAAATGAGGAGTACCTGTGCATAACATTCTGAATATCTTTGTTAACTGAGGCGTTGTTTTTTTCCTGATACCAGTCCTTACTATGAGTTCTAGAAGATGATCTGACCTAAAACTGGCTCATAGGATTGATACCAAATTTCCGTGGGAAATGAGAGGGCTCTAAGGACTGTACCCAAATCAAAGAGAGAGGGGCAGTTCTTTGTTTCTACTTTTTATAGCAGTTAAGAGCTTAGAAAGGGGATTTTAGCCTGTTTTTCACTCAGGGGAAAGTACTGTGGGATTTTAAAAGCTGCCCTTCTCTCCTCCTCTTCCTCCTCCAGCTTCTTCTCCTTTTCAGTGTTGATCCCTGGTAACTGGAGGTGCTTTATGTATGAGCAGGCACCGCTTTCCCAACTTATCAGTTCTTTCAGATAAAATCCTTCTAACAAAAGAGAAACTGGAGCCGACATTTATTTTTCTTTATTCTGCTGACTCATGAGAAGTGGGTAAAAAGGGAGTTAATGCGTAAGGCCCTCCCCGGGGATTTCAGCTGCTTGATGGCTACCTCTGTCATCTAATTTTCTGCACTTTAGGTTTTATTGGCTGTGGCTCATCAGTGATTTCTCTGAATGGCTAGTCAGGTGATTTAGATTATTTTGCCTCTTCCTTACCTGAGAGGACACTTCCAAAAGTATCATTTTTGCACTTGGTTTTGTGTTTTCGGCCTGAAAACTGTTTTAAAAGAAACAAAGTTAAGCTGAACTCACAGAGTTTGATAGAAAGCACTTACTGCAAAAGACACGTTGGATGGAGCTAGAGCAGGGGTCCTCAACCTTGGCAACTTTAAGACTTGTGGACTTCAACTCCCAGAATTCCTCAGCCAGCTTGGCTGGCTGAGGAATTCTGGGAGTTGAAGTCCACAAGTCTTAAAGTTGTCAAGGTTGAGGACCCCTGAGCTAGAGGGATGGATATAGCTACCATTTTGCTATCACCCCTCCAGTGGGCCGTCCTTCTAAAACATGAGGTGCTGTTTCTTGTCTGACCTGATAGTTCTTTGCACCCAGTTGGGTTGTTATCAATGTGGCATTTCAGTGTGAATAATCCTTTTTGGAATAGAAAAGGACCATTGTATAACAAAATAATGAAAAACTGGGTATTTAAAAAGGATAATTTTAGACCTGGCAAAATATTCACTGTTGGAAAGTGTGCTGCTGAATGCCAAAGAGAAGTGGTAATTGTCATCAGCAAGCTGTTAGATTGTATACCACTACTTTTATCTGGAGCTCCTTTGTTTAAACAACAACAGGGAGGGGGAGAAGGAGGAGGAGGAGATTTCTGTCTTGTTCTATGCTTTCAGAAGGAAGACAATTTGAAGAAATTTTTCATTCCTCTTAGGAGATGGGTTCTGAAAGGCTTTTCTGTTGCTCACTGTTTGCATAGCACAGTTTTACATTATCTGTGACATTAAATATGAAATAACAATTTTCTACTGGAAACAGAAATATGTGGCAGTCCTCTAGAAGAAAAAGGGAAGTATAGGACAATGCAGGAATGAAAGAAGACAACTTCATTCAAGAAATAGCTCTCCTTAACCTGGCCCTGGCGGGCAAGGGTAGGATTTAATAAACTGATCTTGGTCTGCTCGGATTTCCTTTTACAGAAAAGTAGCATATGATAACACTGAGGTATAAAGTGCCCAGAATGACCTGCTTGGTATTACTATATTGTATGCAGACTGTTTTTGATCTTTTCTAGCTAACTCTTCTATATGTTTTTCCCCCCCTTCCATTCAATCATATCCAATTTTCAGACACTGCCTGGACAAATCCCTGCTATTTTCTTGGCAAGGTTTTTCAGAAGTAATTTGCTATTGCCTCCTTCCTGGGGCTGACAGAAAGTGATGACCTATGGTCATCCAGCTGGTTTAATTCCTAAGGCGGGACTAGAACTCACGATCTCCCAGTTGCTAGCCTGATGCCTTAGTAGTACATCTGTAAATAAAATGCAAGGATAGGTTTCTGGCCTTCTTTTATAGCTACTATTTTTCTTAATTCATTGTAGATAGACATTTGAAGAAAATAAATCTGAGATTTTTAAGATTTCCAATTGCCAGTTTCATAGTTTCATCTTCTGGTAGTTCCAGAAAATAATTGCCTTTTTTAATAAGGCAGGTTGTCTTCAGCCTAAACTAAAATGGTAGCATGGTAAATTATATTTTAATGGATAAAATTATCTATGGATAGGAAAAGAATGCTGTAATTTCATCTCTTCCTATTCACTATTTCCAGGACAGTACATCAGTTTGACAATACTGGTTTGAATCAAATAATAAGGAGGGTAGCCTGGCCAAGAATAAAAAGCCTTTTGTTGCAAATAATACATTTTGGAGTCAAATGTTCCTGCTTTCTTCAGATCCTTATGCTAAAGTGAAGGAAAAATCAATGTTTCACCAAGCAGCATATAAAAAAAGTGCCCTCATTCTCACTTGAGGTGACAGATGGGTATTAATTTTGTCAGAATGCTGATTTCTAGGGACTTGATTTTCTTGCTTTTTTTTATGCTCACAAAAGCTTTCAACTACACTAAAGCAAAAGAGAATATATTGGCTAAGCATTGCTGTCAGCTGGTTTCAAGGAAAAGATTGAAGGAAATGTATGTGCTCTTCATATCTTAGAAGTAAACAGGAAGAGCCCAATGCATTTTTGTAAAAGATGGGAAATATTGTTCAATCCAGAAATCCAAGTCTGATATAAAAATGTTAAATTCAGACTGTCACAAAAATTATCTCTTTGCTTTCCTTCAAAAACTGTAACATGGCTACTTAAATAAAATCAAGAACCTAACCATGAGAGTCTCGGTAATAGCTGAAACCTGGAACTGATTCCCCTAGATTAGGGGTAGGGAATCTTGGCTCTTTTATGACTTGTGGACTTCAACTCCCAGAATTCCTGAGTCAGCATGGCTGGTTCAGGAATTCTGGGTATTGAAGTCCACAAGTCATAAAAGAGCCAAGGTTCCCTACCCCTGCCCTACATGATAATTGCTTCCTTGGTACTATTTTGGAATTACTAAGGCACCAGGCTAGAAAGTGGGAGATAGTGAGTTCAAATCCCACCCTAGCCATGAAAGCCAACTGGGTGACCTTGCCCAATCATTCTCTCTCAGCCCAACCCACCTCCCCAGGGCTGCTGTTGTGGGGGAAATGTTCATGTAATGTTTTCTATGTATGGATTCACACACTGTACTTAATCCATAATGAGGTAAAGCTTTGGTTTGGGTTTAACATGTTATGGGAATTCATCCATTGTGTTTGAACAGAATGCTTATTGGCTTAGTCTATTGCTTGAAACCTTGTTTAACTAAACTTTGGCTTTATACAGTGCGAAAGCTTATTCTATGTGTGTAGGTATCATTCCAAAAACAATCCCAGTCAAATATTATTTAGCAATGAGTGAGGGTGTTATTTTCCAAATTAAAAGTCTATAATAGGTGTTTCCCAAGGAATAATGCAATTTCTAAGAGGCCCCTGAGACTTTTATATTGGAATCTGTCTGGAGTTTGGGATTTATTTGTAAAAGATTATATAATGTTAAGAGCCAGTTTGGTGTAGTGGTTAAGGTATCAGGCTAGAAACCAGGAGACCATGAGTTGCATTAGGCACAAATCCAGTTAGGTGACCTTGGGCCAATCACTTTCTCTTAGCCCTAGGAAGGAGGCAATGGCAAACCACTTCTGAAAAACCTTACCAAGAAAACTGCAGGGATTGGTCCAGACAGTCTCAAAGATTGAACAGGAAAAAAAAAATACAACGCTCACAACTTTGAACAGACTCCATATTTTGTAGAAGAATATGCTTTCTGCTCTTCCTCCATTCCTGTTATATTTATAGTGTGATTGTGACATTGTACTCTAAGCAAGCTTAGGTCAGATTTTCTGTGTTTAGATAGATGGGATAGATAGTTTTCATTTTCTAAAGCTAAGAAAGTAAAGGGCTGGAAGGGAATTTTTCTTAAAGAACTCCAGAGAAGGAGAGTCCACCACCTTCCAAGTGATTCCATTCTTGGACAGATCTATCTTGATGTTCTGCCAAAATTTACTTCCTTATAGTTCAAATCTATCATTTTGAGTACTGTCTTCTGAAATAACTCTAAACAATGCATCATGACTTCCTGCAGTCATCTCCAAGCTAAACATACGCAGTGTCTTCAACTGTTCTTCCTAATTCTTTTTTTTTTCCTTCCAGGCTGTATATCATTTTGATTACTATCCTGTCCATGCCGTCTGATTTGTCAGTGCAGTGCCCCAAACTGAAGATAGTGTTCTAGGTGTAGTCTAATCAATGTACAAGAGTAAAAGAAGGATGTCATTTCTTGATTCTGACATTAGATTTAGTTTTAGTTGAAGTTTCTGGTGATTATTGCTTTAACTAACTATGATAATGAAAGCATTATGGTAAATCTTCCTATAACTTCAATGTTACTGATAGGTATCCTGTGATATGCACTTCAAGCTATTTGCCAGGCACTTGGTAGCAGCTCTCGCGTGATGGAACATTCTTATGGTTAATTTCTTGATGTCCATGGGATTGAAAGATCTATTTTTCATCTTTGTTTCTCAACAGGAGTTAGTTGTGGCACTGAGTCACCATGTGGTTCAGTATGAAACCAATTTCTGTACAGTTGCCTTACAGTTTATGGAAGAAGAGAAGAACTATGCATTGCCCTCACCTGCTGCTCCAGGTACTCTTATCATCTTCTTTGTAGGCACAAAGTTTTAGAAGTTGACAGGAAACTGGAAAAAAAATCTGTTTCCTTCTCCCATTTTCTTGAATTGTACTAATTTATCTGAGGTCTAAAAGTGCCAAAAAATCCCAATTCTGTTGGAAAATAAGATAAAAAATAAAATTCAACTTGTTTGAAGTGTTTCAACTCCCCTAGCATTATGTTAATTCATATGTAACACCAGCAGTTTATTTTTTATGTAAAGCATTTATACCCTGCTGATCAGTTTAAGAAACTCCTAGAACAGCTTACACAACAATATTTTTAAACAAAAACTCAGTCCCTGGGTTTTTAGGTTTACAATCGTATAACATCAAAGAAAAAGAAGATGGGGAATGAAAAGGAAAACCAGAAAACAACTTCTCAATGTTTCATGATTCCTGCAGAAGGCAACTGTGATAAGAAACAGCCAAAGAATACCCTCAGCAGCAGAGCAAATAGTTCTGTTGTTCATCTTTATATGGCAGTTGGCCTTGCTGACCGTTGAAGAAGATCCCCAGCCAGATGTTTAGATGCAAGTGAGGAAAGGCCTACATTCAGACTAGGATATTTCATGTTTCTTCTGTCCTTTCTCCTAATACATTTAATTTGTGTAGAAAGATTGTAAAGGTCCAGAACAAACTATTGTTGGCCTTCTCTTTCATGAAATGTCATTATTAATATTGTATAGTTTGGGGGGCAGTTGGTTTATTTAGATAAAAGCTTCCTGCTTTTCATTCACTCTTCCCTGGAATAGTGCCTCCCTCCAAAAATATTAAAATAGTCTCTTCCCTCCTGAATTTCAGAAAGCTTAAAAACTTAGTTGTTCTATTAAGCCTTGAGGGCAGGATGTTGTGACTATTCTGCACAGCGATTAGATTCTTTGGTTTAAAGTCCCAATTTATTTATGTGCTTTATAAATTTTAGTTATGATTTATTTTGTTACTTATATTATATTTTCTTTAAATCCAAATTAGACGGTTGCGAAATTACATGCTGCTCGGAGTAAATTTGTTTGAAACAGTTTATATGTACCCTATAAATAAAATGTGTACGTTAATAGCTACTGTGCCTTAAAAAAGGGGGGGAGAGGTGCATTTTAAAAACTGGAAACATAGATCAACATTATTTTGCTTTCTTTTTATATAGGAAGTAAATGGTTATAAATAAAATGCACAAAAAGCTTTCTTTGGTGTGCATTATGAAAGCCTTTTTATAGCCAACTAAGTCTGCCTTTTGGAGAAAAATAGGATAAAAAAATAAATAAATTGCAAGCATTCATAATATAATAGAATTCTTTGGGTAAATATTTAGGCAGGAAAAAAGATCATTAAGCTTTTTTGTTTGTTTGTTTGCTCTTTTATTATAATATCCAGACTCGCACCTCAGCAGTGATACATTGCTGAACTCAAATGAGGTCAGCTTTGTTTGGGGCTGTCACGTAAATCTCATTATAGCTAATAGACCTTGCACAGTAGCAGTCTGTACATTTTCCTCTACTTTAAATAAGGAAATTGAAATAGCATCTCAGTTTTAAAATGTTACTTGTGAAAAATCCCATTAATTGTCCCATTGATACTAAACTAGTACATTTATCCTATTAATACTAAACTAGAACATTTATTAAAAGGAACAAGGAGAAGCAGTCTAGCCGTTCAGTTGCTCTCTGAGCTTGGTTGTTTTTTTACAGGCATTTTATTACTCTGCTGTGCCACTGTTACTCTTCAGTGCCAGAAGGGAGTAGAGTTTGCTGTCTGTTTCTATATAGTTTATATATAGGGGCTTGCCCTGTCAGTGTTGGTGGGAGTCTTGTTTTCTTCTTGGCAGTTCCTTGACTAAGCCGTTGTTTACTGTTTATTTGGTTGTTTACCTACGTTGATTTGTTCCTTGATTTGTTACCTACTTGCACATTGCCTAAAAGTTTTTTTAAATGTGTATTTATTTATTAAATGAATATGCCACCCATCTCCTGGTTCCAAGCAACTCTGGACTGTAAAAGATAAAGAAAAGCCATGGGGAAACACATGAAAAAGAACACTGAGGCTAAAAGAAGACATAGCACCAACCAACTGCCACCCAGTTAATTTGAAACTACACGGGGGGCAAATAAGCTAAATAAATAAATGATAAAACTTTGTCTAAGGGGCAGCAGTGGCTACTATTATTGACTTACTTGAAACTATTACTGGTTTGCTATTTTGCGGGGATAAATATTTATATTGCCTCCATAGAGATTGGAAGTCTGACTCCAGTTCGAGATAATCCATGTACTCCAAAACTCCGTTCTGTCAGCTCCTATGGAAATATTCGAGCAGTCACTACAGCAAGGAACTTGAATAAGTCTCTGCAGAATCTCAGTTTGAATGAAGAATGTAAGATAACTTTTCTTTTTTTAAAAAAAAAAACCCCGAACTTTATACTGTGTGTGCATCTGGGTCTACAGCAGAAATGGCACAGTTAAAAGTGGATAGTGTCTCTAATTACTGTTTGTGAATAGTATGACGTGGGATTGGAGCCTGAAAATCATGACCAGAAGTGGATTCATTGGCATAGTGATATATCTGTCCTCTCGACTATTAGTCCCTATGCCTCTCCCAAAACAAGTGCTGAAAGAGAAGGGAGAGAAAAAATAAAACATCTTGCAATAACCAAATTGCATACATATGTAATATCTTCATCTGATTTTCAGTTAGACAGTCCTCAATTTACAACCATTCATTTAGTTACTGTTTGAAGTTACGACACTGAAAAAAGTGACATATGCCCATTTTGCACGCTTATAACCATTGCAGCATCCCCATGTTCACATGATCCAAATTTGGACACTCGGCAGCTAGCATGTATTTATGATGGTTGCAGAGTCCCAAGGTCGTATGATCATTTTTTGTGACCTTCTGAGAAGCAAAGTCAATGGGAAAGCCAGATTCATTTAACACCCGTGTTAACAACTGCAGTGATTCACTTAACAACGGTGGCAAGAAAGCTCATAAAATGGGGCAAAACTCACTTAGCAACTGTCTTGCTTAGCAATGGAAATTTTGGGCTCAGTTGTGGTCATAATTTGAGGACCACCTTGTATATTCCCTTAGCTAGAAACAAGTCCTGATGCTGTTCTGCCGTATCCAAAAGGTTTTTCGGCCCATAGGTAGTTTTTCAGCAAAAACAGGTAGCTGCAGCACTGAAAAA